GTCATATTATAACATCGACTGAGATAAAGAATAAAATGAAATATTAAAAACACGATGTATCTCGCTGCATTGCGCGAGTACTCTTCTAGTAAACATATATGTATGTACTTATGTATGTATCACGTACCTCAAGACATGCGCAAAGAAAAAATCTTTTGTATAATTACTCTGTCCAACTGTGTACACTAAATCATGATAAGGGTTTAGGTCTGTGTATCTGTCCCATAATCCATATTGTCTGTACCTGTTGGATGGATGCTCTTAGTATCAAATTATAATACTTTTTCATGTGTTATGATTATTAAGTGTACGAACCTGTTAGGGCCGTAAATGAGAAGGAACTTGTTAAGGTATTTCGGGTTAGGATCAGGGATGAAAAATTCTGCCGCAGTTCGATCTGGAACACCGATCTCCCATAAAGTTGGCCCATCTCTTGGGGGTTCATATAAAAGATCACCCAAATTGATATTAACCCTTGAAGCAATATCAATAATCTCAGAATTTCTAAAATCACCAATAAATCCCGGGACCCAAGCGTATAGATTGTATTTGCCGGCGATTACGTTTGGAATTGAAAAGTGACCTTTCTCATTTGTTTCGGTCCAAAATTGGTATTTCTAGTGAACCAACCATGGAGTTAGTATAAAAGTTGATCAAATATTAACCACATATGAAAAACTTGTATAACCAGAAAAAAAAATTGTATCTGATATCTAAAACATTGTCACTTGAAATGATCATGAGTATGAATTCACCTTGTTTTCTCTTTGCCATGATCCTATATCCCCCGGTGGTGCTAACCCGACATAAGCCCTCTTTGCGGGTACACTACGACCACCAGTAATGAACCTGCATACGAACATAAGATAAAAACGTTGAATTAGTTGTAGTGGTGGATTCAAGAATTCTGATAATTGGGTCGGGATTTAATTAACATTATATAAAATAAAGTGAACTTTAAATTTGATCTCCTAATGTTTGCGATTTTCAAGGCATATCGCCACTAAATTTTAAAACCTCGGATTTGGTCCCTCACGTTTAACAATTCTCAATGATTTGGTCCCTCTATGTAACGATTTTTAACTTTTTTCGTTAAGTTCAGTTAGATGAGGGATATTTTAGTCATTTTCATTATTTATTAATTTTATAGTAAAATTAAAAAACATATAATTTGTTTTTTGATTTTAAATTGTAAGAAAAGGATAACCATCAACTTTATTTTTTTTACAATTAAAATATAATATATAATTTTAAATATAATGAAAATAATAAATATGACTAAAACACCTCTGATTCAATGGACTTAACAGAGAAAGTTAACGACCATTAGACTGAGGGTCCAAAACCGTTGAGAATTGACAAATGTAAGGGACCAAATTCAAGTTTTAATGTTTAGGGACAATATCCGTTGAAAATTGCAAACATTGGACTTTAATCTTTAAAATATGATAAAAGTTGAATCTTTTCATTTTTTGCAAATTAATAAGACTAGGTACTAAACAATTAACAATTGCAAAAGAATTAACAAAGTAGTCATCAACTAACAAATCATAACCCTAACAATTAATAGTTAACAAAAAGAATCAACAATTAGGCATCAATTAAATACTATTACATGAACGAGCCTATGCAAGTAGTACTATTAAATGAGCGAGCCTATGCAAGTAGGATGTTACCTATCTAGGACGAGTAATCTACCCGTAACGGCACCCCGTTGACTAGCGGATTGAAAGTCCTTCGAAGCAAGAAAGTCATATGGCCATTTTTTAACTTCAGTAGACATCTGAAAAGAAGTTTGATACGTGAAATTTATATTTATATACCATTTTTTTCTAAATTTAAATAATCAAACCTGGTTTTTGGCATTATCCCAAAGCATATGAAGGTCTTTTCTGTTTGGAACAGTATTGAGATATATAAAAATCGGACCTAAGACTTTCTTCCACCACTCTCCTCTGCCAAATTTCAGCACCATATCATTTCCGCCATAATGAGCACTCGAAAAAAGCTAGAATGAACAATTATTTCACATCATAACTCTTAGAAACATATGATTTCACACACACACACACACATATATATATATATATATATATATTTGATATAGAGAAAAATATATATAACTTACAGTTTGAGTTGTAGGCCCAACATGAGAAGTTAACTCTGACTTGGTAGGACCTCCAACCTTAAACTCATTACTTGGCGTAATATGCCAAAATCCCACCGGTGGATCATTACTTATCCATCCATGGACACCAAGATCCTTTAATTCACTTGTGTATTGATATTTATCATCTACCTGTATATATAATTTTTATAAGGAGACATTACAATAAGTTGCTAAGATAAAGTTGGACAAGTTAATAACTTCTATCCTTATAAAACAATAAGTTATAAGAAGTTGGACAACGTTTATAAGCCTCAATAAGTAAATCGTCATATTGGCTTTTTAATAGGACATTTTCTGAAATGATTTGAGTGAGAACATCCTAAAAGTCGTGTTTTATTGTAATGTTTCTTTTATTACCTCGCCTTTGAACCGAGGCTCAATGGGGTCTACAAGAAGGACCGCCTCAGGATAATCTAATATTTGGCTTCTTTCTGGAGTCCGATCGATTGCTGAAGGCATATCCCGTTTTCGATAATCAGACACAACCATATAATGAAACCTAAGCAACACAAAGTCACATTATCGCCATAACTCAAAAAAAACATCGTTTAAATATAAGGAAAACTTCAGGGAATGCATTTACTTGTTTCTCCTCAGCTTGAAAACAAGTCTTGTATAATCAAGATTGAAACTTGGCCATTCTGCTAAATGTTCCAATATTGCATATGTATAAAATCCTGATGACCCATGAAGCAAAATAAACCTAATGATCATTGTGGTCAGTTATCATTTGTATACTTGTACATTTTTGTTAACTGAAATTATCTTTTCAACGAAATGAGAACCTTTTGTCGATCTTAAGAGGGACTAGCTTGCCCTTGTTGGAATAAGTCCATGTTCTCGAAAAGGAGAGTTCCACTTGTTCTTTAGTTTGTACTATAACATCACAATGCGTTCCTTCAAGTCTGTTCATTACAGAATAGTCGTTGTTTGATATCTATTTTTTACTTCAGTAGCTATATAATTTCTTAAAAGAAATAAGAGAGACGTACCTTTCCATGGAACCTGTGGTTTTGGTGGCTCCCCAATCACTCCAAACAACATCCCAATACCTAAAATCGGCCACAAAGACAAGAGGATTTATAAAGAGGGGTAGCAAAGTTTCTAATAGCTATAAATATTGAAGGGAAGTATTTGTACCCTTGGAATTTGAAATAATGATCATATAACAAAGTAGATGTGATTCAATAGACTTGTATGGAATTTAATTTATCATGCATGTTAATGACATTTTTACCCTCAACTAGATTCGTTTGCATCAAGTAAATGTGGCATAGTAATCATATATGTGTTCTTTTGCTATGTGACCCGCAATTGAAGATATTAAATGAAGAAGTAGTAAAAAGAGTTTATATATATGCTACGTAATTTCGAATAAATGAATGATGAGAATGGCAATTTTACCCTCGATTAGTTTCTTCGTTTATTACATCGAGCAAATTGTCGATCCCGTCGTATTGTATGCCCGTCACATATACTTGCGGATTTGATAGGGTGACCTTAACTATGCCGTTACTTATTACCACCTGTAATAAATATTTCAGATAAATTTGTCAAAAAATCTAGAAAATTATGATTTAAAGAATAGAACTTAATTATTTATGCCTATTTTTAGAAAATTGATAGAAAAACAGTGATGAGAAAATTAGGTTACATACATAATTGCCTTGAAAGCTGAGGTTTACCCCTGCTGTAACATCCATTGATGATCCTTGAGCTCTTGTCAGCCATAACTCATCTGCATTAATTATATTCATGCCAATACATTAAAAATATCATACTTGAAACAACTTCAAATTAATTAATAGACGAAACAGTTTATATTTAATCATATATATATATATATATATATATATATAAAAGTGTTTGTGTGTGTGTATATAATTAACCTGATGAGAAAACGTAGAAGCTGAAAGTAGTGAGCAAGAGGAATCCAGGATGCATGAGAGTAGTCTTCATATTAGATGCCTTATTGAACCCAAGTAATTAAGTTGCATACAATACATATATATATACACACGCACACAGAGGGAGATATATGTGTATATATAGCCACTGGGAGTTACATTTTGTTGGAAAGTGTTTCTTTGAATACGTACTAGTGTTTTATAAAAAGTTATCTAGAAATTCTCATTCTATAAAAACTTTGTTGAATTTACTCTTTTACATCAAAAATGTGTTTGAAAATTTGTTGAGATGACGTATTTAATATTTTAATAATATAATTGATATCGTAATTCGTGGAAAAGAGGAAATGGTCAGAGTTGGTGTAATTAAGTTGTTTTTTTAATTTTTAGACTTTCCATTATGAAATAATCATAAAACCATTAAAGAAGCTCTTAAAATATGTACTAAAATTAGTGACTGATTTTTTTTGAAATAATTTTAAACTATAAAAAATTCAAAATAAAGAATTATATAATAGTGTGTTTTAAAAGTGACATCTACTTATGTATCCATATAATACAATACGATGTGTTGAAAGATTTTATAAATATTTGTTCACAAAATTGAAAAATCAAAATTATATCTTATTAGTAGGGTTTAGTGTTCGAATATGTTTATTGAGTTCAAGCGTGGAGTTTTTAAAAGCTATAATAAATTGTAAACTTGAATTTCTAAAAGTTTCTACATTAAATAATTAGTCCATAATGTTTACTAAGTTCTTTTTTATTAGTATTACCAAATATTTTGTAATATAGAATAAATATACACACATTTTTATAATATCAGAAGGATGTTTGTATAATATTTTTATAATATAGAATAAATATATGCACACATTTATAATACCAGAAGGGCATTTGTATAATATAACGAGATACATTTCAATTTTAATGTTTCATTTTATTATTTATCTATGTCGATATAATACGGTTTTTAGTGGTTTTAATAACCGATAATGTTTTTATTTTTGAATAAGATATAAATTTAAATATATCATAAAAATTTAGAGAAATATTTATATCAAATTTAATATTTAAAGTTCTGGTTTTTTTGTGTAATCTTTTTAATTCAATATTTTATTTATAATTT